TTTCATTACTGTGTCGTGTTTGATGCTGTCTTCCCCACCTGGCTGACCACTTTCTAGCTGAATCTGGTGGCTGCGGCAAATCCAAGATTCAAACACTTGTGATAACGTGGGCACGCGTTCCTTTCTGTCCCGGGGACCCCCCGATGCTATCATTAGGGAGCCAGTGTTCGCCACGGGTTCTGCCCCACGAGGCCCGAGGCCTTTGTTGGTCCTGACTGATGAGTACCCAGCGGCATCCATGCTTTCCTAAACCTGCAGTGTCTTCTACACCACCTCAGAGGCCTGCTGCTTTTCTCAGTCTATTTAACTTCCGTTTTTCATCCAGTCATGTCTCAAACAATTTCATGCACATAGCCACTGGCTTGATAGGTGATTTTTTTTTTTTCTAACAACCATTAAAATAAAAACTCTTTCTAGTAAAATAAGGAATGGGTGTCCGTGTGTCACCGGAAATCTGTATGTTTCAAGAATAGAAAAATTATCTTTGATATAGCGACCAATCACATGCTGTGATTTACCAGCGATGTTTCACTGAAGTTTGGTGACTGTATCTATAATTTTTTTTAAAGATTTATTTTGGCTCTGGTAGTAGGTCTCACTTGGCACCTGGTTTTCTGTGCTATTTCTCATCAGCGTCTCTGGACCCTACCTGGCTCTTGATTTCTCCTTCTCCGAAGACGAGTGGGTATTGGAGGGAATGTGGCGCAGGGTTAGGGCCCCCGGCAGCTCCCTGCTCTGTTTGGGAATTTTCTTCCTGAAATTCTTGGAGCCAGAGAATTCTTGGATTCCTAGGGAGAATACAGGGCAGTGGTTCTCTCCCCAGGGGATTCCCAACCTGAACTTATTAGCTGATTATAAAAATTATGGCGTTTTAGTCAGGGAAACAGAGGCAGAAATGGTCTCATGTTTCATGAGAACGAAACGTTCCTTGGCCTTACCTGACCCATGTACACTGTGAGGAATGCAGCTTTTTGTGTTGTGTTTTTGTGTGTCCTTATTTTCCAGTGGCACTGAGGATTGAATCCTGGACCATCCCCAGCTCTTTATAAAATGTTTTATTTTGAGACACGGCCTCAGTAAGTTGCTGAGTCACCCAGGCTGGGCTAGAACTTACAGCCCTCCTGCCTCAGCCTCCCAGAGTGCTGTGATTATGCAGCACCAGCTTCGGCTGTTTTTGTGGATTTTTTGAACCCTACCCAGCTGTTTCTGATAGAGTACTAGAGAATCTGCCAGCTCACCCTCATTTGTTCCACTCCAGGTGGAGAAGTGGAGGGGAAATCGGGTCTCCGCGCTCCGTGTTTGATTCCTAAACTTGTCCTGTCCGCTGCCTGTCAGAGCCGAGGTCACAGCCTGGGGCAGCCTCGTGGACATGTGTCGCTGTCAGGAAGCCAGAAATCTGGGCTTTATATGAAAATTCCCCATTTCTAAATGTTGGTTCCCTCTCTCTCTCTTTCTTTATAATTCTCTGTGGGCCAAATAAAACAAATCCGCCAGCCAGCACCAGCCTCCGACCTCCGGTCTCTGACTTTGGACTGAGACTTCACTTCCTGATGCGATTTTAGGGTCCGTCCTAACTTAGAAAAATTTTTAAACAATCCTAACGTCAACGGCTCACATGGTTGTTCTTGTTCCTGATCATGCTGCATCGGAGAGAACCTGGAACTGGTGGTCCGTTCTGTTTGGGGCGCCCCGGGATCCAAGAAGGACCTGTCGTCCCGGCCCTGTGTCCCCTCGGCCTCCCCTGTAGGCAAATGCGGGGAGCAGTGGCAGCAGTTAGCAGCCAGGCACTGGCTGGGGACTTGGGCAGATGGCACCGGACTTTGTGTACAGCAGCAAGGAACAGCTTGGAATGTAGGGAACAGGGCAAGGGGACGTTACTAGAGCCTCTGCAGTAAGTCCTAGTCTCCTGCGAGCCAGGCAGCACAAGGAGAATTAACTTATTATACAGGAGGAAAGGTAGAAAAAATGAGACTGAGAAGAAGCTGAGCGTTGGGTCTGATCAGTGCTGCTCTGGGCAGCGAAGACGAAAGCCCGCAGCTTGTGGCACCTTTTATTCAGTACATCGGGAGAAACAGATGTAACAAATGACTTGCAGAGAGTTCAGTACATCGGGATAAACAAGGTGTAACCATCCAAGAACAATGAGCAACTGAGTAGGTGAAGATTTTGTTCCTCCCAGGATGTCTTCAGCTGGTGTAATCTGGTCCTGGAGCATCACAGCATCACCGGATCATGGAGGTCTCAGTTGCGACAGGAGGCCAAAATGGGGTTATGTCTCGAAATGCCATCGCTGGCCTGTAGGCAGGAGAACTAGGCCTAATCAGATGATTTTTCCCTCACATTATGTACCGTTGCTCCTGACATTAGAAGAGAAGTCCACCATGCTGCCTACGCTCGGGGTGACCCAGGAGACGAGGGGGTGCGCAGTCCAGGAGGGCAACCCCTGGGTCACCAGGGACTGTCTCCACTCCTCCCAAAGGCCTTCAACAGCGAGTGAGCAAGGAAGACAGACAGGGAGAGAGCCAGGCGGGACAGACAGACAACAGAGTATGAGACAGGAACAGAGGAAAAGAAAATCTTCTTAAATTGTAAGAGATGCTTTTCAATTCAGTTCTTAGCACTAATTTTTAACTTGAAGAAACATTTCTCTTTCTCCTTTCCCCAACCTGTAATATATACCAGTGACCTGAGGTTTAAATCAGATAATAAGTTTTTAAATTAACACATGACCTTCATTCCAAGTTGAAGTAGAAATCGGGGCGGGGGGGACTATCTGGAGGAGTAGTTTCATTTTTGGTTTTGTTGTTGTGTTAGACAGGGTCTCACTGAGCAGCCCGGACTCGTAGTTTTGGCGATCCTCCTGCCTCAGCCTCCTGAGTGCGGGGATCACAGGCATGCACTCTACCATGCAGGCTTGGGAGTGGGCATTTTATTCTGGGCTTCTGTGTTTAGTGGCAAGAGCTAGCAGCTGGAAGTGTAGAGCGTAGGTGGTTCTGGTGCATTCATCTTGAATCGTGGCTCACCTGCTGGGTGATTGTCTTGGCGTGTTCCGATTATTACAGCCAAACTCCTGTCAGCTGGGTTTCTCTCCCACCGGCCTGGTGGCTGGAAAGTTCTGGTGAAGCCTACTGCAGACTCGACATCGGGGGAGCCCCGCTTCCACTTAGATGGTGCCGACGGGCCAGTCTACAGAGCGACGTAATCTTCAGAGAGTAGTATTACTATTGTGGTACTGGGGATTGAACCTAGGACCTTCACAGTTAGCTACAGCCCTATCCCTTTTTTATTTTTCTACTTTGAGACGGGGACTAAGTCACTACGTTGTCTAGGAAGGGCTAGAACTTGTGATCCTTCTGCCTCAGCCTCCTGGATTACGGGTGTGCACTGCCACAGCTGGCTGAAAAACTGCACCTTTGGTGACACAGTCACCCGGCTGGCTTGCCATCACGTACCCATGTCTTTGTTCTGAGAGATTTTTTTCTTCCTCGTTTTTAATTTTTTAGTAGATAATTTTGCAGTGAGTACCTCTGTGCAGATGCTTTTCGTCTTATTTCCTTAGGAAAAATGAATTCCCTGGTTAGATTACTGGGTTCAAGGATGGGATTTTTCATGTTTTATTCACTTACAGTGGCACTAGGCTCTAACTAGGAAGGGCTCTGATGGGAGGTTCAGCCTTGAACCTCACTTCCCGAAGGCCAGGCAGTGCCCCTCGCTACAAGGTTCCTAACGCTGCACACCCGTGTGACCCGGGACACCTGCCACCTGCTGATGCTGGCTTCCACACTGCTGCGTCCTAGTGCCTGGCATGGGGTGAACTGGGCTGAATTAAAATCCCGCTGCTCCTGTGCAGCTCTCTGTCCGGGTCACCCTGGGGAGCTTGTCCCAGGCCGGAAGTCTGGGGTGCCCGAGGGTGAACGATGTCATCTCCCGGGTGGCTTTGGGAGTTTGCAGTGTGGCAGAAGGACCCAGGGCTGGCCTCACACGGGAGGCTGTATCGTATGTCAGATGTGCAAGGGGAGAGGTTGCTGGGGGAGATTGGGAGCAAGGGGTCAGGAGCCCCGAGAAGACTCAGTGGCGACCCAAGAGACCTGTGTGCATTGTTCAGCTGTGCACACCTAGCAGCCGCATTGAGAGTGCACGTGCGTGCGTGTGTGCGTGTGTGTGTGTGTGTGTGTAGTACATTGGTGGCTATTGTTGCACAATGCCTATGTTTAGTGCAAAACAAAATCAGTAACTAGAACCTCATTCCATTCTTGCAAACAGAACGTAGAAGCCCAGCGTGGAGTTTCTCAGAGCTCTGGCTTACGATCAAAATCCGAGCTGCCCCAGAAGGACGTCCGAGAGCTCTGCACGCACAGGGCCAGGTGGTGTGGGCATCGGGAGGCTCGCTACAGGCGAGGGTGTGTCTGCCCTGGTTGGCAGCGAGCGGTAAGGCGGTCCCACAACCCACCACCTCTCTTCCTCCAGCTGTGCAGGCCACTTGCAGTTAGGAAAACAGAAAGGACACCCCTGTCTGCCTCTTTTGGTCATTATGTATTCATGTGATCCGTAGGTTTAAAAGGGACAGCTGTCTTAAGGGGCAGCATTTTGTGTCTGTGCATTAGAATTACCTTCCTAGGGAAAGGCACTAGTCTAATCCAAGCCCTTTGTTGTACTGATGTGGAGGAGGAAGTGGAGCAGGGAGTGAGCTGCAGTATCACCCAGCCTGTGACCCCTCCGCCCGAGGGACCCAGATGCCTTCCCCCCAGGCCCAGACTCTTCTGGGATCTGCACACTGTTCCATCCTTGGTACCAACTTGCTTCCGCCCAGTAAGTGCAGTGTTGCCTTGGAACAGAATTCGTCCGTATTTGGCTGTAGAATGAGTCCAGTGATTGGTTTAGCCAATGATTTAGTGGGAGAATCAGAATTAGCCTCTGCTTTAGCTCATTTCAAAACCCACCTGGAGGTCCCTGAACCCATCCTGTTTGGTAACACAAAAGAGTAAGTCGCCCAAGGAGGCTCAATGAAGTAAGATCTTTAATCCATAAGAGCTAATTTACCAACTGAACAATGCTCACAGTAAAAATTAAGACAATTTTAGGGCCGGGGATTTAGCCCAGTGGATTTGCCGCCTGCTGTGCAAGTGCAAGAACCCGAGTTCGATCCCTGGTACCAAAAAAAAAAAATTAAGACAATTTCAGCTGCAAACATCACTTTAAAGATGCTTAAAAGCCTACTGAAGTTTCAGGAGGGGACGCAATAGTTCTGGGTTCCAATCTTGGCTCCGTGGCTGTAATACTAGGACAGATGTTCCCCCAGCCTCAGTTTCCCCAGGTGTGAGATGAGAGCAGCCCACTGCTGCAGGCAAAAGTGTGATTTCCAGTGCGCACAGCAATGCTGGAAAGGAAGGGTCTAGTGCTCCACCTCCTGATGGGTAAACTGAGGCTGAGGGGACCCAAGGGGATTCTGGGTTGAGCCTCAACTGTGGCCCACTGGGTCTGGCTGGTCCTCCGGCTCCTTCCATCTCCAGAGTTTGTTGGCTCGAGGTCCCCAGTGCCTGCCAGGGAAGTGTCTGTCCTCGCCACATGCATGGCTTCCCTGGCACAGGCAGAGCCCAGTGAGGACCACTGTGCCCAGGGTTTGTGTCGGGATCCAAGCCTGCGGGCTGCAGGAGCGAGTGGAACCAGGCATTGCCCGGCAACTGCAGTACCCACAAGTGCCTGCAGGCACAGCTGGGCCCTGACCAACACCAGGCTCACTTGCAAGGTGGCAAACAGGAAGCAGGTCCTGCGTGCAGAGCCGCCTGGGCCAAGGGCAGGTGGCAGGAGGTGCCAGGGCCCCGAGCTGGTTCGTGCCCTGGGCCTCCACACTGGGCTGGGGTGGTGCCTCTGGCTGCTGCAGGAGCTTGGCTGTGTTTGTCACCTCCCCCGTGCTGGCAGGCAGGACAGGAAGAGGGGGTGGCAGGGCCTGTGTTGCCCAGCAGGCGACTCAGGCACCTCCCAGCAGATGTGTGTCACCACTGGGGCTGAAACAGGTGCTTTCTCTCCCCGAGCTGCCTGCTGGTCTCAAACTCCTGGCCCAAGTGTTCCCCTTATAGGTGGCTAAGTTAGGTAGAGCTTGACATGCAGTTAAAAAGGGGCCAGGCCCAAAGCAGCCTTCAGCCCTGCTCCTAACAACTCCCTCCATCGCCGGCGTTTACTCAAGACACTGCCCTGCAGAGAAGCTGCTCGGGAGACTTTCCTCTGAGCCCCGAGAATGGGGAGGTGCTGCACACCGCGTGCCTCTCACGGGTCACAAATGAACTCCTGCGGGAACGGGGCCGCTTATCTGCGGCTGTGGGCGGCTTGTTCCTTCCTGCACACCTGCTGGGGGATCCGCTCTGACAAAGAGCACCCACTCTGAGCAGGCAGGGAGCACCTGCGGGCTTCGTGGGCTTTGGAGCTACAGTGCCCGGCTCCCATCCGTGCCTGCTGCTCCCTAGGGAAATGACACAGCTGCCTCCAACCCCGTCTGCAGTGGGACAACAGTCCAGTGTGCATGCCCTGCACACCCACAGGATTGGAGAGTAACCGAGAACCTCGGGACACATAGGAAAATGCTCCTCGTTCCCCTTGCACAGAGGGAGGAAAGACCCCACTGCAGCGGAGGCACTGGCTGCAGCCACAGTTCAGTTTCCTGGACCCTGAGAAAATGCCCGAGGGTCACACCCTAGCCTCCCCCTCCCTCCTCACCTGGTGGCCGAAGATAGCAGCCCAATCTAGGCTGGGTCCTGCACTCCTGGGGACAGGGTGCTATCGGGCTTGGCCACATGTGGGGGTGGCCCCAAGAGTCTGCAAAGAGCGGATGGTGGGAGAGGAGCCCGAGGTCTGGCCCTGGCAGACACTGGACCTGCACTTGCAGGAGGCCAAACTGTGCACCCCGGCCAGGGCCACCTGTCCCCAGGACTGTCGGGGAGGGGTTCAGGGGAGCACTGGGGCAGCCACCTGGGCCTCTGGCTGCAAAGTCCAGCCAGGTGCTGAGGTTTCCTCTCCCTCCTCTGCATGCTCTGAGCTAAGAATGCACCAGTTTTCAGAACACACCTGGGGCATGTGTTACCTTGCAATTTTGCTTTTCTATAAATTTTACATGCCTCAAAATGGGAAATTAAAATCAGAAAAATACACCAGTCCTCTGCCCAGGCAAGCCTGGTTGCACATGATATGTTTATTGTTGATGAAAAATGCAATTTCCGGCCAGGCGTGGTGGTGCACGCCTATAATCCCAGCACTTGGGATGCTGAGGCAGGAGAATTGCTGTGAGTTTGAGGCCAGTCTGGGCTACATAGCGAGACCTTGTCTCAAAACTAAAATTTTTTTAAAGCTGCAATTTGCAGAACTCTGTGAAATATGATCCTACCTGATTAAAAACCCCTATCCATGCAGATAATGTCTCTGTCTAAAGGTCAGTAAAATAAAAAAGACTACGGGAGTGAAATCAGAGAATTCTCACTTTTTATCCTATTTACAATGCATATGTAGTTGGAATTTTGCAACATATTTCTTTGGCTATTTAAAAAAGAAGAAGAAAATGCACACACTTTGAGCTGGCTCCCCAAATGGGGCTGAGTAGCATGGCTGCTGGTGGCTGCCGGGCTGCAGGGATCTGCAGGGAGAAGGAAGCTCTGACTCAGACAAGAAACGGGGACTGAGGCCGGCAGCCAGTGCCCCAAGCCAGCCCTGGTGTGTGGTGTTGGCACTGGGGGTTGCATGGGGTGCAGACTTCTGCTCTTCCTTTCCCACGCCCAACCTCCGGGATCCCAGCCTCGGCTAAACCACCAGCAGCTCTGCTTCCCCGTCTTCAGCCCCCATTCATCCCGAAGCAGCTTCTGTCCCATTTGGAGGAGATCTCTCTCCCCGTTTCCCATCCCCTCTCTGTTACTTCACTGTTTATATTTGGGATTCTCATAAAGAGAAACCCAATTAAGATTCGTTATGTCCGATACCAACTCTCCACAGTGAATGTAGTCATTGTGTGCTGCAAACATGAACTCGATAAAAATTAAAAACAGAACAGGTGTGCAGACTCTGCACTCTCACTTGTTAATGTGTGAGTGCTGACCGCTGCCAACGAGTGTCCGACAGTAGGCGAGCACTGGACTATCTTTTCTGTTTTGTTTTTGAGACAGGGTCTCAGAAGGTAGTTCAGGCTGGCCTTGAACTCACTATGTAGCCCACACTGGCCTTGGACTCGTGGTGATCCTCCTGCCTCAGCCTCCTGAGTGCTGGGATTACAGGTAGCACTAGCCTATCTTTGTCTTCCATTAGCTCAAGTTGGGTGGGAGATACAAGAAAAGAAGCACACAAGTAACCACATTACCAACAAACGGCCATGAAGCACCGTCAGAGCAGAATTCCCAGGGCGGAGGTGAAGTTTAGACACAGGCCAGCATGTAGGCATGAAAATCAGGTGTGTTTCCACAGCCACTGCAGTGATGCTCAGTGATGAATCCCCTCAAGCCCCCAGGGGTCCTGTGCACCCCGGATCTGCTGGTCTGTAAATGCTGACCCCAACAGGGAAAGGCGGTTTAGAAGAGGTGCACGCATGTATTCATGCAGTCTGTGAAAATCAACCTCATTACCTCTGGTTAACACAAACATCCTGCACCTGTTTTGACGACCATTGTGTGCTGTGAACGTGCGCTTCTGAGAGGCCCAGGACGGACTTCTGGTAGACCCCGCTTTGACCCTCTGAAGTTGCCACTTGGTCCTGGCCAGCAAACGCTGATCTGCTGCGATCGCTCTCCGGGACCCACCCATGCTGGCACGCGGTCATCGACTGCACGGGGAATGAGGAGATAGGTCCTGCTGTTGCTGAAGCGCGGTTGAATTTGTGTGACCTGCTCAGGGCCTCCGTGCAAGGAGCCCAGGATCGCTCTGCTCAGCGCACGGCAGCGGGGCCCAGAGGTTAGGCCCTGAACCTGCTCCTGCTTCCCCGAGCTAAATGAGCGGTTTCCACGACTTCACCGCGGTGGTGTGCAGTGCATTTGGGAAAGTATTCTTTAAGTGTCCCAATTCGCGTCAGAAATTCCGGCTTTTGCAGACTGCGCCGGGCCTGTGTCGCGGCTCACCTCAAGTACAGTGCCATCAGCTGATCGCATTAGGTGCTAGTGACTGAGTTCCTGCTCTGTCCACAGCCCTGAACGAGCTGAGCTGCAAGGAACGGTGGAGCTCTTTCCGTGAGGGTCTGCGTGATTTACGTTGTGTGCGGGGCTGTATCGCGGCCCCCCAGAGCCTATGCCCAAAGATGGGGCTTTGAAAAGGTGATCGGATTCTGGGGGCTTAGAACTGACTTGCTGTTACAAAGTAGCTTCCGGTGGGAGGAGGTGTCGCTGGGGGCGGGGCCTTGGGAAGGGGCGGGGCCTTGGGAAGGAGCGTCACTGGGGGCGGCGCCTGGAAGGGTTCGTCTCCCTCCCTGGCTCCGCCCCCCTCTGCTTCCTGTATGCTGTGCCTCCAGCAACTCCTCTGCCAGCCCCTCTGCAGCGCCACCCTGCAGTGCCACCCTGCAGAGGAGCCGCTGACCATGGACTGAACCTACACACTGGGAGCCAAAATGAACCTCTGCTTTTAGTTGTGGGCGTCCCGTATTGTGCCCCAGCCCCAAGAAAAAGGCAAAGACATCGTGTGTGTGGCCTGTGGAAGGTGTAAAGATATGTAACCTCAGGTGGGCGCCCCCACCGGACAGAGAAGTCAATTTAAGGAAAGATGGGCGAGGTAGGTGTGAGTGTTTTCGAGCAGTTGGTGCCCACGGTTGAAGGCCAGCTCGTGGGGCTCATGGTCTAGTTAAGGCACCTGCAGTGAGAGGCGCCGCAGAACTCCTAAAATTGGTCTGGCCTGGAAAATCTGGAGCTGAAAGTCCTGTAGAAATTCCTTCCTGGGGCTTGCAGACAGGAACCCTCCCCTCTGTCAGATTCCATGGTCATGTTTGTGAAATTCAGTGAGCACTTAGCCAGTGACCTGTCCGGGGTGACCCGCTGCATGTTTACATAGGAATCCCCCTCTGGTGGCTTTAAGCGATGTTTTCTGATGCTTTGTTGGTCCCAACAGTCCTTCTTAAAAGTTCCATAACTCATTTTTTTTAAATTAATGCTATTGAATTAACTGATACTTCTGAGAAACTTTACGTCACTCTTAGAAGAACTGGACATGTTCTGTGGTATCCGAAACACAGTGGGTGATGGTACAAGTGTCCCTTTTGGGTCCCACGTGATTTAAACTGTGCTGGTGCTGCCGATGAGGTCGGGGACTTCAGGGGCTTGCCTTCGTCTCCCCTTCCACATGTTCCCTCATTACTTTAAAAAAGTTGTTAGACTGCTGTTAGAGGGAGAATTCTAGTCAATTTAAATAGAAAATGAGTTAGAAGCTCAGCATTAATCCCAGCAGTCAGGAGGCTGAGGCAGGAGGATTGCCATGAGTTCAAGGGCAACCTGAACTACATACTGAGACCCTGTCTCAGAAAGCAAAAAACAAGGGAAATGACCTTCACTGAAATCAACAGGAGTGGAAGAGGCAGAACCGCCTGGGGCCACCCAGTTTCTGATTCAGGGCCTGGCTCGGTTCCAAGTGGTGTCTCTTAAGAGGTCCCTCGAGGTGCTGGGGTTGCTGCTGTGGTTGTGACAGCGGCCTAGAGCCCTGTTACTGGGGGAGGCCGTCCCTGGGATCACAGCCCAGGGCGCGGGGGCCGGGTCCCGGGCACCCCTACTTCTCGCTGTCACCATCCTGCAAGTCCCTGGTAGCACAAGCTTTCCTCTTCTGCTTCTCCACTCAGGCCCCTCTCCTCCACCTCACGAGCTTCCGGGTGCACGCGGGAGCAGGGAGGACACATCCAGCCTCCTGTCCTCCCTGGCTGCGGGCCTCTGGAGCTCCTGCGTGCCAGCCGGAAAGTGGACTTAGCACTGAGCACCAACTGGAACAGGCTCAGCAGCACCGAGCGTTGGGCGGAATAAACAGGGCTCACAGCAGTGTGGGCAGCACGCTCCGCATGCACGTCCAAGGTCAGGTCCGCGCACACTCGCATGCTACACACGGATGTCCAAGAGGGAAGCCGGTCCTGGTGACTGCCTGGGTTCAAGGACAGTCTTTATCATGGATTCCTGGACTTCTGAGATGTTGATTGTGGGCTTCCATTCCTCCCTTAGCATTCGAAAGCTAATTAATGGGGGGAAAAGGAGGGCTAGTTAAGCAATAACACACGTGGCCCTCAGAACCTGGCGCCACACACGTGGCCACACACGGGAGATGGGGTTCACAGGGTCGGCACTGGGCCTGATCTGGTGCACGGGAGCCCCAGGAATTCGGCCCAGAGTCTCCCAGCTGCGCCCACAGCCAAGCAGGCGGATTTCATGAGCTGAGCAGTAGGTATTCTGCAGGAGGCCTCAGGGAGGAGCAGCACGTTGCACCCTGGGGCTGAGGTGACGCCCCTGGGACCCCTGTGTTCCCCAACAGCTGCCCTGCAGGTGGCAACATCATGTGTCTGCACCTCACTGGGTACCCACAGAGGCCTCATTCTTGGCATTAGCTGAACTGAGAGAAGGGCACCAGGGCTACTTCACCTGCTAGGTCAGGGCCCAGCTTTGAAGTCAGGGAAATTTGGATTAAAACCCTATCTCTGACCAGGTGAGGTGGCACACACCTGTAATCCCAGCACTCGGGAGGCTGAGGCAGGAAGACTGCTGCAAGTTCAAGGCCAGCCTGGGCTCCAAGACAAGTTCAAGGCCAGCCTGAACTGCACAGCAAGACCTTGTCTCAAAAAAAGAAAAATGTTTCTACCACTTAACAGCTGGCCAATCTTGGGCAAAATATGTAATCTTTCTGCACTTTGGTCTCACTATGTATGATAAATCCAACCTCTTTGGGGTGCAGAGCATAATAGATACTTGCTGTGGTACTTGCTGTGATAGCAGCACATAGTAACAAATGAAGAAATATAATTTCTATGATACCAGGCAAACAGGTTAGTCGGAAGACAACATTTACAGTCAGTTACATAACAACTGGCCTTCCATAGCAAAGGAGCCTGAAATACACAATGCTGCAGTTCTTCCCGAGAGTTTGATAACAGCTTACCCCTGTCAGGAACAAAACAGGCAGAAAACACAGGCGCCCATGCCAAACTGCACACAATTTCAGGGAGTCTGCAGACAACCCGCCTGTCCTGTGCATCCCGGAGCCGTTGGACCGCAGGTCACAGGCAGAGAACAGGAGTCCGTGAAAGGGACCGATCACTGTGCATAAATGTCAGGAGGCCCAGAGCCCTGGCCGGCAGCTTGCCAACTGCTTGACCCTGGGCGTGTCCTCCTGTGGCCTCAGTTTCTCCTTTGTAAGGTGGGGGTGAAGGTCCAGCCTGCCCCGCAGGGTCTCCTGAGGGTGCGAGATATGCCATCTGCTCCTTGGCCTGTGGCTGGTATCTGGCGTTTAACCTCTTTGTAGAGATAAGCTGCTTTTGTAATTAGGATCTTTATCACCCAGGCAGAAGCACCAAGAGAGGCTGGAGCACAGGGCCAGGCCCTTTGGACTCTTCTCCGGGAATCCTGGGAAAGCCCGGGGACTCTGGGAGCCAGCCTTTCTGAGGAACAAGCAGAAAGGGAACTGGTGGTGAGCAGTTGGTGTCTGGTGCAGCTCTGGGCCGTGGCTCCTGCAAACCGAGATGCGCAGAACACCAGGTTCAAAGGTCCAGTGCCAAAAACATAAACTCTCCCCCACGGAGCTAAATCAACTGCATTAAAGTTAATTTCCATTTTCCTCTTCCCTTTTGTGTGGCCACTAGAAGTCCCTAGAAGTCCCGTCTCATTCATATCAGGCCACTCTGGGTCTAGGAGTCAGAAAGAGGGTTGACGTCTTGGTCGTCAGGACGGAATGGTGTCGCTCCTTAAGAAAGGACATCAGAAAGGCCAGGGACAGATTGTGGTGCTTCACTGGTGTCTCAGGCACTTTCCAGGTTGCTGGGGGAAGACACCTGACAGCCATGATGTAAATGAAGAGAGGTTTATTTTGACTCAAAGTCTGTAGAGGGTTCAGTCCATGGTCAGCTGTTCCATGGCAGGGCAGTGTGGCAGAGGGGCTAGTGGAGGAGAGCTGCTCACAGCAGGGCGGACAGGAAGCAGAGAGAGAGGGGAGGAGCCAGTCGGGTGGGAGATGAACCTTCCAGGCCCCACCCCCTGACCGCACGCCCCCTGTGGTGCCCCAGTCCAACCACCTCCCAGAGCCCTGCCTGTGGACGCCCCAGGCTCCTGGAGGCCATCCAGGCATCAACCCCATGGGTTTTACCTGGGAAGGCGGATCGCTCAAGTGTCCACTCAAGTGGGCCTGGCTTTGGACACTGGAGTAGAGGTCAGAGGTCAAGGCTGAATGTGGAGTGCGTTGGTCAGAGTTGTGAGCCAAGACTGTGTCCAGTACGTGCTGCTATCTTCCACAGTCCTCTCGGGTCATCGTGGATGTAGCGCTTTGAGGCAGAGCCTGTGGTTGCCTTTCCCATTTTACAGATGAAGAAGCTGAGGCTCAGAGCTGGTGGCCCCTCGGGCTCCTGAGTGTCGTGCTGGGAGCGGAAGCCCTCGTTGGCTCCGCCCCTCAGAGCCCTGAGCCCCTGGTCCTGAAGAACAGAGCACTGTCGTGCAGGGATGTCATCGGGCAGGGCACGGGCAGGATGGTCAGGCATCCTGACGCTTTCTGTAAGGAAGTGGCCGATAAGAAAACCCTAAATGCACCTGTAGCAGAGGTATGTTAAGTCCTGAGAGTCACTGAAAGCTGAAGGAAGCCTAACCCTGGAGTGGAAGGGCATTAAAAGGAGCTGGAGTCCTTCAGGGCTTGTTCAGAGCTTTTCAAAGTGATGCTTAGGTGGCAGAGAACATCTTCTCCGTTGACCTGGTTCAGGGTCAGGGATCCAGAGGTGGAGACCCCAGTCCCCCCAGCACCAGCCAGGAAAAGTTTCCCTGCAGCTGCCTGGCCCCATCCCAGACCTGCTGAGTCAGGTTTGGAACCAGCGCCCAGGGGCCCCGGTCACGCTGTGCCCAGGAACTTGCTCCCCTGGCCCTCGGGATTTATGGCCAAGACTAGCTGGTTCCTGTGGCGCCCTGCCAGCCTTTCCGGGCACGGAGGATGCCAGGACCATCCCGGACTTGGGCAACAGTGACCTGGAATCTGAGGCAGTTGTTGTCCTTGGCTGTGGTCATCTCGCAGGGCCCCTTAGTGGCAGCAGCCCTGGCTGCAGCCTGTGCCTGCTCTTATGCCGCGCTTCTGCTGGGCAGGGGCCCTGCTGGCCCAGCCCAGGTTGGGCACCGAGGGGCAGTAATCTGGAGCAGTGGGTGGCCCCGTCCCTGCAAACCCGCGTGACCAGAGGCACAGACAGTTCAGCCCCTCTGGGCTGCATCCGTGACACAGACGTGACCAGAGGGAGTGGCCCCCGGAAATGTTAGGAAAATTAAACGCCATGGTGCAGGAAATGCGTCTACTAACCTAGCACAGACTGAGTGCTCAGCCTCGGCAACAGTTGTCCAAACTCATGGAAGCATATCACCTTCACCACTGCATTCAGAGGTGAGACCCCCAGAGTGCCTTGCCCACCGTGCTCGGCTGCTGCCGGCTGTGTTGCGGGCACCTGCCTGCTCCTCTTTTCTGTTCTCTTGGCTCCAAGTGGACGCCAGCGGCTCCCAGCAGCGGCCTGGCCTGGTCTCTTCCACACCTCTCCCAGCCAGGGCTCTGCCTGGTGCTGAGACTCCGGGGATCAGGAGGTGGCCCTGGCCATGGGGCGACACCCACAGGGTGCTTGGGAGAAGGAGGAGGAGCATGGCGGGTCCTGCTCCTCACTCCATCCTTCGTAGCCTCTGGAGTGCTCGGCAGTGGTGGCCTAGTGATAACAGGGTTGGAGCAGAGATAGTCACGGTTTACAGAACAGCTGTGCCGTGGTCGGTACGGCACACAGAAAGCACCCTGGAGCCACAGTGGGAACCGTCCCCCAGGCCAGGGCGGGTGCAGGACCAAGAGGCCACCCCACCTCCACCATGGTAAACACAGGGCTGTCAGCCGGAAGAAGCCCTGACCGAAGCTGACCTCACTGCCTCCGCCCCCAACCCTGCCAGCACTCTGAGGATGTGCTTTGTTTTCTTGGAGGGGCTAGGGATGGGGCCCGGGGCCTTTGCCCTGAGCTGCATCCCAGCCCTTTCTTGTTTTTTATTTTGAGACAGGGTCTCACGAAGTCTGGGCTAGCCTAATCTGGGCTTAAACTTGCAATCCTCCTGCCTCAGCCTCCTAGAGTGCTGGAATTACAGGCATGCACCACCACACCCAGCTAATTACTTCTCCAAAGACCCTGCCTCCAAATCCAGTCACATTCTGAGGTGCTGAAGGTTAGAACCTCAACATGTGAGTTGGGGGTCACATAATTCAACCCGTGATGCCAGCGGGTGCTTTTAGCTTTCCAGCCCTGCCGCTGGTTGAAACGCACAAGGAAGACGCAGCTGCCGCCTGGCACCAATCCATTCGGAGCGACAGAGTCCTCAGTGCACGGTGTACAAGAGGGTGCAGGTACTAAGCACTCAGAAAAAAGTATTTTTGTTTATGACATTCTTACGCTTTTTGTTTTGGTTTTGGTGGGGGTTTTTCAATGTGGCCTCACTAGGTAGACCAGGCTGGCCTTGAACTCCCTCTGTGGGCCTCAAACTCACAGCAATCCTCTTGCATCAGCCTCCCAAGTGCTAGAACAACAGGCATGCGGCACCCCACTGGCCTCACATGCCTGTGTGTGTGTGGTGCCTGGAATCAAACCCAGGGCCTGAACCTGCTAAGCAACTTCTCTCCTGCCAAGCCACGCCCCTCCATCCAATGCTGTTGTTCCTCTGAGGCAGGAGGTAAGGAAACTGCAGCTTCACGGTGTGCAGGTCTTGCCCAGGTCTTGCCCAGGCCTTGCCAGTGGGAAGCGCCAGGAGCAGGCCTGAGCCCAGCTGCCCCAGCCCAGCCCTGAATGCATCCCTGGAATTTGGTGTCTGGGGCATGGGGCCAGGGCAGCGTCCTGTCCTCAGGTCACAGAGACCTCGGCCAGGCAGAGTTCAAGGGGCACTGCTCCTCCCTCAGGTCTGTAGGATTTGGGTTTTGGTTTTCTTTTGTTTGTTTTTCCAGAAACCTTCCTGTTAGAGCTGACCAGCAGCTCATAGTTCAGACATTCACACTGTGGAGCTAACTGTGGCTTCACCCCACAGGCCCTGACCTGGATGCTAAGTGCCAGAAGCATAGAAAAGGCCTCCCCAGAGCGGCTCTGCACCCCACGGCTCTGCTAGGCCACAGCAAGAAGCTGCAGCTGCCACCCTCTCCCCCCTTTCCCAGCAGCGCTCCTGTTCGCAGGAGCCTTGCACCACGTCCTGCCTGGCGTCCCCAACCAGCCCAGAAGGCAGTCATCCTGTCCCCAGGCCCAGAACAGGCGCAGAGCTGAGTCACACCCTGGAGTCCAAAGCAGGATGAGAGCGAGAGCGGAAGTGGAGGCCTGTGGCTTGCTTCAGTTTTTTTGTTTTTTGGTTCTTCCTTTCCCACCCTCTCTTTTATTACAGCCACAGGGCGTTTGCTCGGGAGCCTCGCTGGCTGTGACTGGGCCTTGGGGCTCCCTGTGCTCCTCCAGAGCGAGCCCAGCCGCTCTTCCCGTGGGCCCCTCCTCTCCCAGCTTGGGAGGCCCCGAACAAAGGTGGAATGCTGCTGTCCTCAGTGGGGCATCTCGGGCCTGGAAGATGCTAGACCCTGAAGGCAAAGGCGACCCCAGCTGTGAAACCAATGCTTAGGATCTGCCTGGCCTGGTGGGGTCGTCCTGTTATAAATCCATCCCGAGGAACCCGAGAGCACAGTGGGCCCAGACAGCAGGGTGCACGGGCAGACGGGAGCCTCTGCCCAGAAGAGGAGGGGGTTGGCAGGCCAGAGTCACCCACAAGCAGGCCCTGAGCATGTGTGGAGGGAGTGGGCTGGAATCGCACCTTTCCCTGGAGCGGGTGGGAAGGCCAGCTTCTCTGACCTCCGTTGCTCCTTCTATAAATCGGGACAAATCGTGTGCCCGCTCAGGTTCCACACAAAGCCCAGATGGTGCCTGCCCTGGGAGCTGCTCTGGGTGCATGGTTCCGACAGCCAGATGTCCCTGCCAAGGAGGGAAACTGAGGCACACCCTCCGGAGGCTCAGAGAGGCCTGGAGCTTTCTGGTTCTGCTGCAGCCAGCTGTTGCACGATACAAAACAGCTGCGTGTAGGAAGGGGGTGCCCCCACCTCTCAGTGTGGGCCGAAGGACCCCAGCCTAGGCGGGGTGATCAGCAGAGCCGCTCAGCACCTCCAAGAGGCTCAACTTGAAATGAGTTTGTTCTCATCTGATTCTCCAGTAGGAACAAAGTTCTTTCCCTGCGGCCCGGCTTTGCCAGCCAATACTCCATTCTGCTGCCTTCCCAAAGCTACAAAATCTCCATCTCCAAAACAGGAACTCATTTTCTGGGCACAGTGACCCCCACACCCTGAGATACAGCTCAGAAAGGGAGCTGTATCTGAGTGGGGATCCAGGGAGGTGTCATCTTGCTTAAGTCTCGGCAGGATCTGTGTCCCCAGCCCATTCATTCTCAGCGCCACCCCCAGGGCCAGGAGCACAGTGAAAAGTAGGTCACGTCAGCCAGGCCTGAGAGCAGGCACGAAGCCCCAGCTATCTGAGGATCGGGTGAGGAATCTGGACATTTTAGGAGCCTGGCACCTGCAGGCTTCCACAGGGGAACAGGGAGCTACGTGCGTGACCAGGACGAGGTCCTCCCCGGGAATCAGCGGTCGGAACAGGGGAAGCTGGGGGCTGAGAACCGTGGGTCTCTAGCTGCTGTGTGCTGTCTGCTTCCCCCCGAGTCGCTAGCTCGAAGTCCCAGCTCCTGGTGAGCTGAGGCAGGGAGGAAGGAAGCCGTCTGTGCACAAGGAGCCAGTCTACTACACTCCCAGAGGGGCTCCCCAAGCCTTCTATAAATGCAGCCTGCGTGGGCTGTGCCCAGGCCACGGGGGTGATCAGTGACGGGTCCCGAGGGCCTGGGTCCTGCAGCCACGGGACACCTGCCCGGGCCCGGGAACTCTGCGCCCTGGGGGCTGGGAAGAAGGAATCCTTGCCAGAGCACACGAGAAAACGTGCTGCAAATCCCGGGGACAGTGCCGGATGGAAGAAGGCTGTCACCCTGGCGGCTGAGGACCTGCACCCGTGCTATGCTGTCCCCACTCCCCTGCCTGGGCCTCTGCCCGGTCGCTGTCAGGGTTGCTCTGGCTGCCCTGGCCCAGTGCCAGCCCAAGAGCCCAGAAACAGCCACACCGGGGAGGGGACCCCAGGCCTCCCAGGGTGGGACCGCATGCCCGAGGCGGCTCCCAGTGTGTCGACACCAGGCCACCTAAGGCCAGGGCAGAGCCAGGCCACCCTGCCCTGCCTCCGCCTCCTCCCTGCTTCCTGCTCTGAGGGCTTCCCTGTTGCAAGGGCTGGCGCCCCAGCGGCCCCACCCGCCAGCCACAGCCCTCTGGTTCACTGGCCATGCAGGGCGGTTGGGGACAGACAGGTAAACATGAAGTTTTACTCCTTGCTTTTGTGCGTGGCCCTGGATAAAAATAATAGCAAGTGCAGTGCTCGCTGTGCCTTGGCCCTCTGTGGAACACTAGGCGTCAGGGAATGAATCCCCCTCCAAAAACGCCCTCTGGAGTCAGTGGTGTTACCTTGCTCTTTTTTTGAGACAGGGTCTCACTGTGTAGTTCAGGCTGGCCTCAGACTCCTGGTGATCCTCCTGCCTCAGCCTCCCCGGTGCTGGGCTCAGGTGTGCACCCCCACACCTGGCTTTTTCCTTTCTGTTACCCATGGGGGAACCTGGGCTCGTGGAGGTGAGGCACCTGCCCCGGGTGGGCCCGCCTAGAGCCAGCCCAGGCTCTTCTGCCTGTGCGTCTGCCCTCAGCACCCTCTGACCATGGAGGGGGCCTCACTGATCCTTGAACTTGGCCTCAGGGACAGGTAAGCCCAGTGGCGCACTGCGTGGCACATCAGGGAGCCCACAGGGTGCCGGGTGTGGCTGCAGTGTTGAGTCAGCTTTGCTCTGCTGCTGCAGGCGCCACTGTGGCCAGAGCGTGCGGAGCCCTGGCAGCGCGGGGTAGGTACTACTGTCCACCTGCTCCCATGAGTCACAGGCTGCCACCTGCCACGTGCCTGCCAGCCGAACCTCCCTCCAGCTGCCCCAACTTAAGGATTTAGCTGTGCAGGGCAGGGCCCTATCTCTGCTGCTTCCGGCCTGCGCCCTGAGACATGGGCTGCGGCTCCGGGCCGGGCCACTTCCGTTGCTTTACCTCAGGCACTGGGGAGAGGGGACAGGTGGAATCCAGGCCAAGGCCAGAAAGCGGAGGTGACCCTGGACCTATGAGGCTGATGGGGTTCTACCAGCGAGGCTGAGGCCGCTGGATGAGGTGGTGAGGGGTCAGAAGGCGTCAGGCAGGACCTCAGGGGTCCTCTGCTCAGACACACCTCCTGTGACAGTTCCTGCAGGTCCTCACTGGCTTGGCCTTTTCAGGGTCTCCCTGTGTAGTCCAGTCTGACCTCAAACTCAGCATGTAGGCCAGGCTGGCCTCATACTGCTGGCGATCCTCCTGCTTCAGCCTCCCAACTGCTGGGGTGACAAGCGTGCCCGCCGTGCTGGCTTCCTTTTTCTTGAATAGAGACTTGCCCCCCCAACGCTGTTGGGGAGCACTTGGAAGTGCTCTCTGTGTGCAGGCTTGCTGGCAAGGACTCTCACCACTTCCTGTTGCCAGGACTTGCATGGGCCTCCGCTGGGGAGGAAGCCAGAAGAGCAATGCTCGGGCCTCCCGTGAGGCAGCCAGCAGTGGTGTGGCTCTGGGACAGTGGGCACTTTGGAGGCAGCCCCTCTCCCACTGCAGATCTTCACGTGCGTTTATTTCCTCCTAGCAAGGTCTTCAAAAGGTGGCTCTCATGTGCATGGGGGGCGTTGATTTCACTGCTGGGGCTGGGTTTGTGCAAACCAAAGATTCACAGCACCGTTCACTCAGCAGACACACTGGCACTTCTGAGCCACGAGGACACTGCAGAGGGGCCTTTTCCTAAGGAAGTCCACTGTGTGAATGCATCCATTTCCCTAAAAGTAGGGATCTTCCTGCCTCAGCCTCCTGAGTGCTGGGATGACAGATTAGGTTTTTACGAGCAGCTCCTTGGAGAGATTTACCTTCTGCTTCTTCAGTAACTACGACACTTCTTATGAATGTTTAAATAACTTAAAGATGACTGTTACTCACCTATAACAAAAACATTCTCCTTAGATTTTAGGGAAGAAGGCTTCTTAAAGATGTCCAGCAAGACCACCAGCACCAACAACATAGCCCAGGCCCGGAGGACCGTGCAGCAGCTGCGGCTGGAGGCCTCCATCGAGAGAATAAAGGTGAGACCAGTGCGGGCTGGGGCTGCTGGCTTGCTGGTCGCGTCCCCCTTCTCTGGCTGGGCTAGGACACCCGTTGGAGACGAGAGGCTGCTGAATTCCACTTGCTCCAGGATTTCCCAGGAGCAGGCTGATGGCCTCCTGTTCCTAATCTTCATTTCCTACTAATTTCAAAACAGCCAAGGGGCTGGGCCTGGTGGTGCACACCTGTCATTTCAGCACTTGGGAGGCTGAGGCAGGAGGATCCCATGGGTTCAAGGCCAGCTGAAATACATGAGACCCTGCCTCAAAAAAAAATAAAAATAAAAAAGAAGAAGAGCTAAATTACCCGATGTCGGAGTGGGCCCCTTGGGAAGCCCGGGGAGGTGATGACCTTCTGTCCCCACACAGCCTTAGGTCCCTGGAGAAGCCAAGCGCGTTTCTCAGGTCACCTGACTTCAAACTCTCCTCCCCTCTGTGCCCAGAGAGGAGAGGGCCAGGCGGCCGGAGCGCTGGGCTGCTGACTCCCGGAGCTCCCTGGGCACGGAGGCTGTCACCCGATAAGTTCCTGGGGCCTGGGGCCTGGAGACCTGGGGCCAGCCAGGCACTGCCCAGCCCGCACTCCCCACTGCACCCAGTCTGTGACCCTGCGGGTCCCCGCCCAGACCCCGAGACCTGCATGGCGCCTTCTGTGCCCCTGGTGCACGCGCCCTGCCCACCGTCTGCTCCCAGGCCCCGGCCGGGCTCCACCCCTCAGCGTCTTTCTCCAGCTAGGCTCCACTTCCGGTCTGTTGTTCCTGGGTAGAAACCGGGCCACGGGCTCTGTGATCCACCCCCGCGCTGCCTTCCCGCGCGGCCTGCGTCCGTGATCTTAAAATAGCACTCACCTGAATGACCAGGCTTCACCCGCTGCTAACATCTGGGCGTGTCTGCTTGCACCCCTCCCTGCACACTCATGCACACGCATCTGCACACACGCGGCACACAGCGTGCGCATGCACGCACTCGCAGAAGGTACAGTTTTTTCCGGGACCCCGGGAAAGCCCCTGGCGCCCTCCCCCTCGCACCTCGTGTCCGGAGACTCCCGGCCACCCGCGCTGCGCTGCAGAAGCCGGGGCTGGCCGCGGCCTCTGAGGATCGCTTCCAGCCAGCCAGCCAGCTGGGGAGGGGCGCTCGCTGCTGGCCCGGCTGGTGCTGCTCTGCAGGCCTCTCCGCAGCGCCCGCTTAGCGGTGACTGAGCGCGCCCCTCTCGTGCCCGACTGTGTCGCAGGTGTCAAAGGCGTCCGCAGACCTCATGTCCTACTGCGAGGAGCACGCGAGGAGCGACCCTCTGCTCATCGGCATCCCGACCTCGGAAAACCCTTTCAAGGATAAAAAGACCTGCACCATCCTATAGTGGGGCGCAGCCGCCTGCTCTCCGCCACCGAGCAGCTGAGCAGCGCCCGGGGAGCCCGCCGCCCGCCCCTGCACCCACCGCTGACACCCGCGACGCTCGCTCGGAAGCTCGGACTCTGAGTCTGGACGTTCCGAGCTCCCTCTCTCTACGACGCCCCCACTATTTCCGACAGAATAGCGATCTTGTTTTCTACTTGGGAACTGTGCTATTGGATTGGGTTACTGTTTCAGGAAGCTTAGTCCGGGCCTCTTAAAAACACAATTCTACACTTCCGATTACCGTTGATTCAGGAATGCCAAGACCTAAATTGTCCGAGCACCTGTCAAATTAAAATGCCAAGAGTGACTTCAACCCCGAACCCCTGTATCCCACGATGTTCGTAGGAAGGGTTGTGCTAACCTCTTTAACACACAAGGGGAGGACTGCAGGATGTACATGTGTATCTTTGTGTGTACCCTTATCAAAGCTTATTTCCTCATTAAAACACTCCTCTCTATATAACATCAGTTCTCCAATACCAGAAGTTATACCTTTATCTTGAGTTACATGTAGGAAGAATAAAAAAAAATTTTCAAGCCAGGCATAATGGTGCACACCTGTCATCCCAGCACTCGGGAGGCTGAGGCAGGAGGGTCACTGTGAGTTCGAGGACAGCCTGGGCTACTTAGCAAGACCTTGCCTCAAAAAAATTATTTTCATGTAGTAATTGTACAAAAAGAAAGGACATATTAAAGATTAGAGTCATTATAATTAGGTAATTCAGTCTCTCTCTCTTGAAATCTTGCTGCGCCTTAAGCTCTCCTCAGCGGTGCCAATTAAAACTCAAGGCTGACGGGAAAGCTCTTTGGAGACCCCTGGAGGACCCGGGAAGCCTCACCCTCGGGATGGGGCACAGCCCCTCACCCCGAGCCATCCAGGTCCCCAGGAGCTGGCCGGGAGCAGCAGAAATTGCAGCCTCAGCACTGTCCGGCCCGCCTTGAGGGTCAGCCCCTCACTGTCCCCACCATGCCCATGTCTCCCAGGCTCCAGTGCCCATTTTCAGAAGCGACAGTCCCCCGCCAGCCCCGGGTGGGAGGAGGTGGGAACCAGGCACCAAAGCCCAGAGGCTTCGAGACGCTTGGCCCCTCTCGGCATTGGTTTGTCGCCTGCCCGGGTGGGAGGGGTCCAGCTGGGTGTTCCAGGACCCCAGGTCCCACTGTGGGTGCTGAGTTCCTTGGCATCCTCTGGACATGAAGATGCCCCTCCTGTCCCAGGCTCCCGCATTGACATCGGAGGAGCGCATCTTGATTTTGTCAGAGGAGTCAGCTTTGAAATGCTCACCATGCCGCACACCCACCTGTAACACTTTAACCCCACTCTGTTCACTAAAACAAATGACTAAAGGTCAGAAAGCTTACTCTCCTCGAGGCTCAGCCCGAGAAGGAATGATTCCCATCAGTCCCCGTCCACTGGTCCCGAGAGGCAGGTGCTGTCAGATCTCCCTCGGGTGCCGCACTCACAGACAGGGACGCAGGCAGGGCTGTGTCTGTGGCCCTTGAGCTGCCTGAGCTAGTCACACAAAGCCCTCAGCCTGTGTCACCTACCCTCGAGTCTGCGATGCATCAACTCCTGGAGACCACAGACACCAAGCAGGGGAGAGAAGGTGCGCTTACCTTCCCAAGGGTGAGATCGGAATTTCGCCCAGAGGCGGCCTCACAGGCAGGGCTCCGCTCCATGAGACTCTTTCTCTCTAAGCACATTTTCTACCGCTAGCTTCAGAGTGCTCGCCCTCTCACCGCTCTCATGTGCAGCATTGCTTGGGAGATTTTATGACGCAGCTCAGTGCACTGTCCGTGAAGTTGCTTTGGTCCTGCGCCACGCAGGTCTCATTCTCAGAGCGAGCAGACTCCGCTCCAGTCCTCACACGCTGAGCAAACCCCTGGGGCTCTGTATTTGTTACTGTGCTTAAGGGGGAAGAGAGGGACTCCAGTCTGCAGGAGGTGTCTCTCGTAAAGGCCATGAGTGTGTGCGTCACTTCCTGAGCAGGTGCTTGGAAGAGTGGACTCAAGCACCTGGCTGCATGAGGAAGAAACAGTGTAGCCCAATGTTGATTTAATTATAAGCAGATCCTTCACTGAGCACACGGATAGGCTAGGAGGGCAGCTCCTCTCCTCTTAGGAAGCCGACACGGGCCACCTCTGCCTTATTCCCACGAGATGACTTGAATGTGCTCGGTGTACTTGTTCTTTAATGGCACTTCTGTTTCTGAGCTCTTCGTCAGTTCATCAGCAATCTAATGTGCCCAGGTGAGGCCTTGGATCATGGAGGTAGGCTAGCTGAGATGTCATGACTCCAAAGTATCATAAGGAAACATGTTTTCTTTAAATAAGGAAAATACTCTGTTCACCAGGTGGTTCACAGTTATGGTTTGTAACGGCTTTCTTTGTGTTAAAAAAAAAAACAGTCAAGTTTTTTCGTTCTTTACCTTATTAAAGGACCACACTTACCTTTTAAAGGAAAGACTTGATTTGTTTTCTCCACATTTGGGCTGTTTTTGTACTTCACTAATATTTAAACTATCAGGAAAAAAAACACTTTGTAACAATGATTCAGTAATTTTGATGAATAGCTTAATTTACGTAGTAAAAGATGAGCCAAAATTTCTCTTTAGATGCCACCTTCTCAACCAAGTTATTTGTTTGGTTTTTTGCTTTTTTGGTACCAGAGATCGAACTCAGGACCTTGCACTTATGAGGCAGTACAGTGCCACTGAGCTAAATCCCTGGCCGTATTTGTAACTAGTAATCCAATCTTCCTGGGACGCTGAGTTTTTATTTAAGATAGGCAGGTAGATATCTCCAAGAAGCGAATGGCTGTATGTGTCAGTCATTTCTCAGTGACATAAGCAGAACTCCAGAGTATGTTATGCATTGTATTGATTGCTTTTGTGCTAAGCCTGCTCATAGGAAAGAATGCATCAAACCAAAACAGAATGATGGACATATTAAAATGAAGAGAGCCCTGACCAGCAGTCGGTGGCTTGGACTTTAGCCCTGCATCATTTTCTAGTCAGTCCTTGTGTGACTTTGGAAAAGACACTCCACTCCGTGTCCCGGGGCCCTCATTCCTCCACTGTCACGGGGCGGGACACGCACGAAGGCCAGGGTCGCTGCCTGGTCCTGTCCTTCCTGCCAGTGTTGGTGCTAGGAGCCGCTCCAAGTGTAACATTGGTTTGTCTATGGCGTGTGCTCCTTGGCAGCTTGTGAAAGGCCCTTGCGACAGCATTTCTCCTTGTTCTGTGGACTCGGTGACTGTGCTGATGACTCATCTTCAGCCCCACAGCTACAAGCCCTGATGCCTCCATTCTCTGTAAGTTTGTATTTGATGGCTCCCTGGTGAGATTTCGCTCTTTCCTAACGTCGGTGACTTATCTGTCCAGCATCTTTGTAACCTTAACGCTGTGATTTCTGTTCGGAAATCTGCTGTGCGGGAGGAATAGAAGCATTTACTTCCCAGCTACTGAGGTCTTGGGTTTGGAAGGCATCTTGTGAACAGCACCAGCCTTTGCTGCTGGATCAGTGCCTGGTTGTATCATTCTGTCCATGTTTCACTCAATAAACCCATAAGAGATGGTTTCTCTGCCCTTGTCCTTCATTCTGCCCACATTTCCTGAGTAGCTGCTGGCGACACACGCATCACTGAGACCCCAGCCCCAAGACCCCAGCCTGGAGGGGAGGCTGGGTGCAGACACTGGGCATCGCAGAACCGGGTGGGTGATGGGGAGAGACAGCAGCGGGGGGAGGCAGCAGGGGTTCTCATGTGTCGGGTGGGTGGGGGCACAGGTCCCTCCATCCCGTTAGAGGACTGGAGGAGGCAGGCACTTGCAAAACGAGTCTGTTCCCCAGGTCCTGGCCACACGGTGAGGACAACTGGAGATGGGAGAGGCCGAGGGTGTGCAGGGTGGATACACAGGACTCGATGTGGTGACACTCGGCCGAGGCCAGCGGTGGCGACTTTGTGTCCTGGGCCTGGCCACCATCAGCCCTTTGCTGGCAGGAGGCGCAGTTGCTCGTAGCCACGTGGACACTCACGTAGGCCCTTTTCCGTTTGCTTCTTTTTGTTATTTTTGAGACTGGGTCTTGCCGTGCAGGCCAGGCTGGCCTCCGACTCACAGGATCCTCCTGCCTCAGCCTCCTGAGCACTGGAATGACAAGTGCACCCCACGCCTGCCAGTGAACATTTCTCACAGTCACGCAGGGCCCCAAACGGCGAGTCCGAGACCAAGCCCACCCTCAAAGTCCACGGCAGCACTGCTCTCAGGAGGCGGGAGTCAGCTACCCATCATGCCCCACGCTGGGCCCCACACATACCCAGGCATGTCCCGGGACGTCCTTGTCTCTGTGGCCGGTGAGACAGCCCCTGGGGTCCCAGGCAGCCCCTGCTTAGCAACACCACTGCTTGCTCCACCAGAAGTTGCGGGAGGGTCTCAGACATCAGCACCGTGGCCAAGGTGATCAGCCAGGCCCAGGAAAATCTCCCCTCAGCTGGGGATGGAGCCAGGAGAACAGCCACAGAAGGGAGGGGTGGTCAGCAGCCCGAGCCTGTGATCCCAGCACTCAGGAGGCTGAAGCAGGAGGATCTCCAAGAGTTTGAGGCCAGCCTGAGCTCACTAGCAAGAAGGCAGCGCAATCAGCAGCTGTCCCTGTACGTTCTTGGCCCCCAGGCCCTGCCTAGCACACTGTGGCTGGGAAGATGAGTCCACCTTTGGGAATCGGAGCACAGATCGGAACCTGCTGTCTAGGCAAAGTCCTCAGAGAAGCGGCCACCCTGCAGGTCCAAGTCAACGCTCCCCAGAGAGGCTGGGAGCCTCCGGTTATCGGCTCCTCCTCCCCTCCTGACTCCTGCCCTGCTCCCCCACGAGCTCCTAGTCATGCCTCAGGGCCCCCTCTAGCATGTCCCTTTCCTGGTAGGCTTCCTGATCACTGCCCACACACACACTCGTGTGCACACACACGCACACACTTCGACTCTGCCACACTGCAACCCTGCCATGACACCTCTCTGACTTGAGAGTTGCGCCTGTCGTTTCCTCAACAGAAACTGCAGCATGGTCGGCGGCATTCTGGGAGTTCAGGGCTGCTCGGCCTGGGGTGTGCCGGCCCCAGTTGCCTGTAGAGATAAAGAACGACCTTTGCTCCCTCCCGGGAGAGGAGCTGATTAGGGATTCTGGGCAGGAAGAACAGTGAAGCCCCCAGGATGCCAGGTGTGCCCGGAAATGAGCAGGTCGGAAACTGCACACGTTCACAGTGACATCTGCCCCACAGGCTGGGAAGCCAGGTTTGAGCTCTATGTGCCTTTCTCCGATCTAACAACAACCTCTACTCTGAACCTCCTCTTTCCGCCCTTTTCTGTTTTTGCCTGTGACCCCAGCACTCCTCGGGAGCCTGAGGCAGGAGGGTCGCCAAGCTTGAGCCCAGCCTGGGCAATTTAGTGACTTACCAAGACCTTGTCTCGAAAAAGGGAGTAAAATAAAAGAGCTCTGGATGCAGCTCAGTGTGAAGGCCCCGGGTTCAATCCCCAGTACCACCAAAAAAACCCCCCCAAAAAAACCGGGACCAGAGAATGCCTCCCTCTGAGGACAGTCATCCTGAGCACAAATGGGTGGCAGTGGGCAATGCTCTCAGGGGCTCTGCCATGTCCACACCCTGCTCACCTGCCTGGAGCTGGACATTTCTGCTTCTCCCTCTGAGGAGCCTTCGGCCCAGCAGTGCCGGGCACACACCAGGCATCCATGACAGCCTGGGAGGCAGCTACTGCTTTATCAGGGTTTCTGGCAGATTATAAACCCCTTCAGGGCAAGCGCTCCCCCAGGCTCCATCTTTGTAGTGTCCACAGCCAGCAGAGTGACATTCAGTTAGCCAACCAGCCAGCCAGCCAGCCAGCCAGTCAGTCAAGTCAGCCAGTCAGTCAGCCAGTCAGTCAGCCAGTCAGTCAACAAGTCAGCCAGTCAGTCAACAAGTCAGTCAGTCAGTCAGTCAGTCAACAAGTCAGTCAGTCAGCCAGTCAGTCAACAAGTCAGTCAGTCAGTCAGTCAGTCAGCCAGTCAGCCAGTCAGTCAGTCAGTCAGTCAGTCAGTCAGT